ATAGTGTTTATTAAATTATTTAACAAATAATTTTGAGGCTGTGATTCTTGTATTTAACCTTTATTTGAGCGGGAGACAAGGAACCAAGCTGGCCTGAAAAATAAGAAATAAAAATAGGAACAATAAATACATTCCTTTCATGAGTGAGTCTTGAAATTTGGATTTAGGTTAGATAAATTAAATTACTTTGGCTTGAGCTCCCTCTCCCCAACCACAGCAATCTTATTCACCAGAGTCTGTTTTTTAAAGCTGTATATATGATTTGCAATAGTGGCATTCAGAGACTCTGTGTACCATTTCATCCCTTTATGCCATAAAGGAATAAGGCACAGAAGGAAAAAAATGTCTAGCTTAAATATGAATCTTCACTGAAATTTCTGTTTGTGGCTATTCTAAAAATCTTTACCATAAATTTCTGGGCTAAGCAAGCTTTTTTTAAAAAAAATCTTTATTAAAGTTCCCCTTAGTTAGAAAATAAATTATTTTCTGTGACCTTTGGAAAGTAATGTCAATGCTTTATTTTTTCTTGATAGAGATGCAGAGCAGAAATCAAGAAGTGCAAAATCCAATCGTTAATCAAACCTTAGATAAAGGTGAGTGTATTTGCACTATGCCCCCAAAGAGCTCTTGATGGCTGGGACATTGTTCCCATAATACAATGCCTCCATAAATTTTGCTAACTAAACTGTCAATTCTGAGCCAGAGCTACAAGGAATTCTAAGGAAGGATTGTGTAGAATAACAAACACAGATACCGGCGGTAATTTTGAAGTGGGAGGGAAGCCAGTGGTGATAACGTATAGATTCCCCACTCCATGTTTTATTCGAATATGGCAGGATTACATCTACAGTAAGCCTTTCCTTTCAGGCAGATGGGAACATTGTCTCACATCAAATGCTCCCAAAGGTCGAAGCATCAAAACTAAAGTTTCAATTTTCTTTTGTCCTTCAGAATTGGGAACAACTCAACCACCTCTATCACTTTTTCTTTTTTCCAACAGGATCACCTTTCTCCAAGGAACTTGCAATGACCCTAAGAACTTGTAAGCTTGGCTGTGTAAATGGACTTGCTTGTGACAGCGAACAATTTCTGACATCTTGAAAGTCTGGTCTCTTTTAAATCACATGGGCCCTAAGATAAACTAGAAAGACAATACTACTGGTCACATTAACATGATGCCTATTTTTTTTTAAATTGGTGAGTATAATTGTGGATATTTTTATCTCATTGAGTGAAGTTTCCTTAACAGAAAAGAATATGATTCATTGCCTTTCTAGGTGAAGGTGGTCAGGGTAATTCTAGAATTTCTGTATAGGACATGGTTATGGAAGAGGGCTAGGGGATACAGGTGGAAGTTGTGTTTTATAATGAACACATGATATTATTTTGATTGTATTCTCACATATGGAATGAGCTAAGAAAAAACGTGGAGAGCTCCATAAACCTCTGGCCATTCTCTTCCCAAGTTGCTGCTGGCTCCAACCACAGACTAAAATTCTAAAATTCTGTATAATAAAACAACAACCACAACAAACAAACAAACAAAACACTACCCAACTAGGGTACAAGGATTGTAAAAACTGCCATTTCTGGCTACAGGCCTAGACCACATAACACACCAAGCACTGGCAGTAAATCTCCTAACCCTTTTCTTCTGAAAATTATTTGTAACCAGCAAGGTTTTTTGCAAGCGCTTTGCCAAGTTTCAGAGTGCAATGACAAATTTCCAATGTGGGTCAAAATTCAGATGAGTAGCTAATTTCATGAACAACCGCCACACATCGCAATTCATCACATTTTTATTGGCCAGTGCAACCATTTTAATTTTACAGGGGGTGGGGGGGACTCAAAATGCCTAATTTAATTCAAGTTATAAATGTGGAAAAAGAGACAAATTTTCTCAAAAAAACTCTCAGATTATCCTGAGGACTCAAGAAATTTTTTACTCTCATCACTCATTTGAGATAGTTTCAAGTTTATTTTTAATCTTAGGTCTAGATCTCTGGGGACACACTCTGAGCTGGATATTTGCATAGAGATAATTTCTTAAGGAGTGTTCTTTGGACAGTGCTTGTGAGGGAGTGAAGACAGTAGGATGATGAGAAGAGAAATGTGATGCCTTTGAGTCAGACCCACAGACAGCTCAACAGGGAATAGCCATGGAGAGTCTTAAGTTGAAGCAAAAAGGTATCAAGGTTCCCCTCTTGCATGGGCAAGTCATTGGATGTGGTGCCCCAGGAAGGGAAAGGAACTTGAACCAGGCACTTTACTGTGCTCTCTGCCAATTCCTGTCCAGGAACTCAGCTGTAAGTCCTTGCAAGGTGACACAGCCAGAGAACAAGCAACAGTGTCAATCTGAAGGCCCATCTTCATTTCCCCCATATAAATCTAAAGTCATTCAACTTTTGATAATGAGAACCCATCGATCACTATTTTTAATATCTGCCATGCATTAATGTGTATATAGGGTTAATATTATGAACATAACACATCTTGAATATTTGTGAAAGTTTTCATGTGTTTATTATTGACAGAATGGACTGTTCACCATCATTGATTTCTTACTAGAAATCTTTAAAACATAGAATTTTGCCACAATACACAGTTGCAAATATTATTTGTGTCACTGCAACTGTCACAGATGAAAAATAAATAAATAAAAAGGACTTGCCTTTTGTAGTCCTACTTTTCAATCAATGTTTGCTTAGGGCTGAGATGAAAGGGTTTCCTCAAACAAGCCGCAAGCTTTTGTGCTGACATCAATTGTCTATTTGCAACTGTGTGTTATGCTAAGTCTACACCATCTCTCAGCTGGACACTTACAATAGCTTGCCAGCAGGCCCTCAGCACCCCATGTTTCTCTCTTGAATGGCATTTCCTATACAGGAGCCTGTGGAAATCCTGTTAAAGTGTAAATAAGACCAACAAATTCCCCTGCTTTAAAACACTTCCATGGCTCCCCATTGCACTCTGAATATATTCTGAAGTCCTTACCATGGCCTAAAAAAAGCTTCATTATCTGCATCCTACTTCTCTCCAATTCCCTCCTGACATCAACCACTGAGCTATTAACATCAAGGAACATGGACCTCTGTTCTGTATGTAGAACAGAGCAAATTCTTCTGGCTCCAAGTGTTTGCATTCTGTTATCTACACTCAGTATACTCTTCCCTGTGAGTCTTGGCAGTTCATGTCTTCTCATTATTTAGCTGGACTTTCAGAAACAGTATTGCCCTACCTTCCTTCCTGGGCTTCTGCTGCCTCTCCATGTACCTGCCCACACCTTCCCCAACCTGACCAACGGCTCTCCATAACGCTCTCTACAGTTTTCTTGTTTATTAATTTAATAACATGTTTAATAACATGTTTATTTTATCACTCCCATAAGAAAGCAAAATGTGTGTTTTGTTCCTTCCAATTTTAATAACCTATAAGATCTATTCCAAATATTTAATAGACATAACACATAGAAGAAAAGTATGTAAAATGAAATTTGAGAGTTAGCCAAGGACTAGACTAGAAGTGTGTTAGGCCATGTAAAATTCTGGAGAACTAGAAACTATTGTTAGAATTTTAGGAGTAAGTTCTTTCAGTAAAGAGAGATTTCTGATTCAATTACCTTGTTCATAATATATGCATTTCTTAAAAAGATTTTTTATTGATTTTTAGAGGGAAAGGGAAATGGATAAGGGGCGGCGGGTGGGGGGGCGGGGTGGAGAAACATCAATGTGAGAGCAAAAGACAGATCGGCTACTTCTTACACACCCCTACTAGGAATCAAGCCCCCAACCAGGGCATGTATCCTGAACAGGAATCCAAATGGCAACCTTTTGGTGCATGGGGCAATGCCCATAAAACTGAGTCACACAGGCCAGAGCCATACATATGCATTTTATTGTATTCATATATTTACTTAAATGGTTATTATTTAATTGCCTATCTTCTTATTGCTGATAAACACCAATATAACCTAGGTTTTTGAAACATTTATGCTGGGCCAATCCTTACAAGAACTTCTTTATATGTTGTAATATATTTTTAAAATATTTATATTAAAAATGTATCTTGATTCCAGAAGGAATAATCATATGATTATACTATTTAAAATGGCACCCTCCCAAGCTCTCCCTAAATTATTGGCCTTTTTAATTTTCTTCATGGTGGTTATTCTAGTCATATCTATGTATTTATTTACATGCTAGTTGCACGACTATATCAGGGGACAAGGCTGTCTTATAGTCTCCTTTATCTCTGTTCTTAGAATAAGATTTGGCAAATAGGATGTACTCCACAAATATTTGTCAAAATAAGAAATGAATGAATGAATCTGTTAATCTAAGAAGTTCACATATATGAAAGTTGCTACTTCCCAATGAAGCTGAATAAATAAGATCTCATAGTCACTACAGTCCTTTCACTCTGAAAAGGTCATAGAATTAATCTTTTCTTTAATTCTCTGTACTTATGTATGCAAAATGACTGCCTAATCCAAGGGGTTCATCACTTCCTAGCAAGTAATAAAACCCTTTTTCAATTTGTTCTATGGCCATGTTAATAGTGAACAGTTACTTGTTAATTGATTATAGTTGCATTGATATTTATTATTTTCTAAATTTCTTCCTGTAGTTATCTAGTTATCACACTTAACTGAGTTTTATTTTTAATTAAATTGTACTTACTCTTTTAAAGAAAAAGAGAAATATATATATAGAGAGAGATTTTGTCTTTTCATTCACTATTCTGTTGCCAGTGCCTAGAATACTCGTAATACCTAGTACACATGAGGGAGTCAATCAATAAATATTTATTAAATTAATAAATCACCATAATTTGCACAGCCAAAGTGAATAAAGGGTCTTCTCTGAGGGAGATATTCATTTAGGTACCTATTTTCAGTTATATTTAACTTTAACGTGGATTCTTATCCATATTCTTTTACCAAGTACTCAGGGGAAAAGGAGCGTTCGATTAGGTGCCAAGATCATCATGTTTCTTGTTCAGGACCTTTCTTGTGTGACTGCATGCAAGTCCTCTAAGTTACCTGGGATTCCGGTTCCTGAATTACCAAACAAATAAAAGCAGGTATTTGATTCTTTAAGGTTCCCTTTTAAAACTAAAATTGTATATTTTCTTCAAACCCCAACACTATGGTCTATTTCAGTATGCATGTTTTTAGCGTTAACTCGTAGCACAGTATACATTTTTATCTCTTTTCAAGTATTGCCAATGAAAAAGTCTCTCAGTTACTCAAAACCTTTTCTTTAATTCCCCTTTCTTACTTGTTTACAGTCAGGTATATGGCATCACCTTTATTGCATAACTAAGGGATACCAAATAATATGACCTAAAATGATTAATTCTAAAGATTAGTAACAGGTGACTTGACTTACAACTGATGAGCCTTTTACATTTGGATGCTGCTGAACAAAGCAATATTCAGGTGAAACGACCAAGCCAGATTCTGTTCCACATTGAAGAGTTCACTCCCAACAACTGCTTTAAAGGCTGATGCTACATTATATTGTGTTGAGTAATATAATTTCTATCTAATTTTAGAAGGGAATTTTGAGGTGATTAATGCTTTTTATTAGCCAGTTTTTATTAGTATGGATTGGTTACATTACTTAGCAACATTTTATTCAATATAGAATTACCAACATCTTTGCAAGTGAGATGGAATATGCTATATATGACAGTAGTTAAGTTATTCAAACCTCCATTAAAAGAGTCAATTGGAAGTTATATTTCTTATTGTCATTTACCTAAAAAAAAATCTAATGAAAGAACCAGTAAATAAAATAAGAATGGTTTTCTTCTACATCTCAAATAAAAAAAGAAATAACTAAGGTTTTATTTTTTTTTAAATCTTTCTGACGTAATCTATAAGTTTGGGATAGGAAGCATATTAACTACATTATCTACTGCAGGGGCAGAGTGATGTCAAACAGTCATGTGACCTTTTTCTGTGAAGCTTTCTTTTTTTAAATTTTATTTATTTTTTCAGTTATTTTATTTTAAGAAAAACGATTTTAAATATAATAATGTTACATGCAATAAACCTTAATATTTCAAGAAAAATGATCTTACATATAATAGTTACATGAAATAAACATTAATATCTCAAGAAAAACGATTTTAAATATGATAATGTTACATGCAATAAACACCAATTATTCAAGAAAAAATGATCTTATATATGGTAATATTATTACATGTAATAAACATTAATATTTCAAGAATAAAATAATTTTTAAGTATAATAATGTTACCAAAACTGTACTAACATAGTATGATATCACAAAAGTTGTAGGAAATATTAAAAATCTGCAAATAACAGGATTACTTCTATTATATTCTAGTATTTTTTTCCCTCTGGCTCTATTTTTGTTCATCAGTTTATGTTGTTCATTATATTCCACAAGTGAGTGAGATCATATGATATATATCTTCCTCCAACTGGGTTATGTCACTTAGCATGATGCTTTTAAAGTCTATTTTGTCGGATACGACTCCTGCTTATTTTTTTCTTTTTCATTTGCATGGAAAATTTTTTTCCATCCCTTCCCTTTCATCCTGTGTGTGTCTTTTGTTTTGAGGTGTATCTCTTGTAGACAGCTTATAGTTGGGTCAGGTTTTTGTATCCGTTCAGCTACCCTACACCTTTTGATTGGAGCATTTAATCCATTTACATTTAGGGTTATTATTGAGAGGTACTTATTTATAGCCATTTTAATTCTGTACTGCTAGGTTTCTCTCTCTGTTTCTTCTTCTCAGCAATCCTTTACCATTTCTTATAATGCTGGCTTGGTGGTGATGAACTCCTTTAGCCTTCATTGTCTGAGAAGCTCTTTATTTGACCATCTGTTTTGAATGATAGCCTTGCTGGATGTAGTAATCTTGGTCTCATATCCTTGCTTCCCATTACCTTGAGTACTTCATGCCATTCCCTTCTGACCTGTAGAGTTTCTAATGAGAAATCAGGTGTCAGCCTTATGGGAAATCTTTTATAGGTAACAGTTTTCTTTACTCTTGCTGCCTTTAAGATTCTCTCTTTGTTTTTAATTTTTGGCATTTTAATTATGATGTGTTTGGGCATGGGTCTGTTTGGATTCTTCTTGTTTGGGGTTCTCTGTGCCTCCTGAACTTGTGTGAATTTTTCCTTTATCGGGTTAGGGAAGTTTTCTACCATTATTTCTTCAAACACCTTCCCAAAGCCTTTCTCCCTTTCTGCCTCTTTGACACACATACTATTCTAATATTGTTACATTTCACATTGTTCCACAGCTCCCTTAGGCTGTCCTCCTGTTTAATTGTTTTTTCTTTTTGGTTCTCTAATTGAGTGATATTTTCACCTCTGTCTTCTAATTTACTGATTCGATCCTCAGCTTCCCCTAATTTGCTGTGTATTCCTTCCATGTGTTCTTTATTTGTGTTATGTCATTCTTTAACTCAGACTGTTCTTTTTTCATAGTTATTATATCTTTTTTCATAATGTTGAACATTTTTAACATCATTACTCTGAACTCTGTTTCAGGTAAATTTCTTATCTCTGCTTCCTTTATCTCTTCTTCTGGAGAATTTGCTAGTTCTTTCACTTGGAGGTTGTTTCTTTGTTTCTTCATTTTGGTTGTCTCTTTGGGTGTGTGACTATGTTTTAGATCAGCCGTGGGCAAACTAAGGCCCATTTGAAATGAATAAAACTAAAAAAAAAAAAAAAAGACTGTGCTCTTTTATATAATGATGTTTACTTTGAATTTATATTAGTTCACACAAACACTCCATCCATGCTTTTGTTCCGGCCCTCCGGTCCAGGTTAAGAACCCATTCTGGCCCTCGAGTCAAAAAGTCTGCCCACCCCTGTTTTAGATAGATCCTCTATACCTCTCAATCTCTAGTGCAGGACAGTGTTAAAGGCTGTTTCTGACTAATTAGATCAGGCAAAGACTCAAAGCCTCCAGAGACTGCCTCTGTCTACAGACTAATAGGATTCCCTCTTGAATTGCCCCCAGGCAATCATCCTCAGGTGTGGCAAGATTTTTTTCAACAGGGTGGGGCAGTTGCTTCTGCCTGGAGGCTAATTGTTACTTTTAATCTCTTAAGTGGCCTCAGGGCAAGGTGTTTTCCAGTAGGGTGTGTTGACTGTCTTCCCCCGAGGTAAGGCAAATGTCTATGTGGGAAAGATGTCCTTCCCTGTGTGAGGAATGACTCAGCCCAGGAAACTTGGGGTGTCTGCCTTTTGAGCTCTATCCCCTGAGTTCCTAGTCCTGGGTTCTGCTCTCACAGCTCCAGTTCAATTCACCCTCCCTCTGCCAGAGCACAAGGTGGGTGACTTCACAGAGAAATTTTGTGCATTGGCCCTTTAAGAGGGTGCCTAAAATTTCAGCTGCCACTCCCTGGCAGACAGCACCCCACTGCTTTTCACAGCTAGATGTTATGTGGGTACCCTCCTCAGTTTGGTGCTCTCTGCTGGGGAGCCCACCTTTAGGATTAGATCTCAGTTCTCAGTGGCACCTCCCCCACAGCTGAGATATCTCTCCGGGACTTCAGTTGCTGTCTGTGGGTGCCCGGGCAGCCATTTTTGTGCAGCCACTCCTCCTACCAGTCTTTATGCAGTCTCCACCTTCAGTCCTTGGGTATCAGGGTTCTCTCCTGTGAGTTTTCCATTGATTATTCAGGAAGCCTTTCCGTGTTTCAGTTGTAATACCAGCTTGTTCCTGGGAGCATGTCCGTGCAACATCCTCCTACTCTGTTGCCATTTTTAATCTTTAAAATTTGTGAGGCTTTCTTAGAGGTGCTAAAATATTTAGGTGGAGGGAATATTTTTCTCTCACCCATGTGTATTATTGTGTTTTGTCACCCTTAAACAATTTCAGCTTCCTTTTTCTTCCTCTCCAAATGTTATTATTAGAATTCTTTAAGTGGACCATTCTCAGTTGTTTACCTATCCTAGCACCATTGAAAGACAAAAGGAAATGAAAACATCTCCAACTTTGGGGTGTATATTAGTCTAAGATAACATGGCAGCCTGATTCTCTCTACCAATACATTAGTTCATGAATAGGCATGAGATATGTGTCTGGTCCCTCGTTCTTACATTCATCTATTCAGCAATTATTTTTGAGTGCTTCCTGTGTGCCAGGCACTTTTCAAGGCATTAAGGATACAGGATACAAGAGAAAATACAAGTCACTGCTCTTCATAGAACTTATATGTTAAAGGAAAGACAAAAATACAACAAACATAAATAAATCAATAAATAGTATTTCATGGAGTGAAAATTCTATGGAGAAAAATAAAGGCAGGCAAAGTGATAGAGAGGAAATGTGGGAAGAAAGACATTGTTTTCAATAACGTGGTTGGTGAAGGCCTCCATGTTAAGTGAAAAGAAGTGTGATTGAAAAATCAAGGGGGAAAAACTAGAATACAATTAGATATTATTTTAATGACTATTATTACAGTGTGACTCTAAAGATAAGAATATATGAAAAGAATGTAGGATTCTGTCATAGCCAATAATCTTTACACCTTGATAATAAAGGTATTTTGCATATCTCAATAGATAAGAAAAACTAACTCAAATGATACCACTATTTGGATGGGTGTTATAGATTCTAATCTCACTTAAAAATTAACAATGATATTACTCAAAAGAAAGGGGATGCCTCTACATGGTCACATTTTCCTTTATATCATGAAGTCCTTGCTACAGACTGTGTACAGATTTTATTAAATTTCAGACATTTCAGGCTTCCAAGAGAAGAGAGTGACCTCAAAAATTAATTGAAAAGGTTTTGTGAAGATTGTGTGATAGATGTTTCCTTATTTTGTAGTCATTTTTGAACCCTCAATAAATTTACAATTAAGTTTATAAATATTTATAACAATAAGCTAAAACTCATGCTATTAATACCTACAATAAAATATATGCATATTTGATAGCACAAATATTTGGTTGTACAAGTAATATTAAAGAGAATTTGTTCTAGTAGAGTGACAAGTCAACTCCTTGAATTTTTAATATTTAACCCTCAATATATTTACAAGAATAACTTTACTTCAGAAGTGTTTATTATTTAGAATAA